CTCATTCATCAAGGAATAACAGGTGTAATATCCACTAAAGCAAAGCTTAAGTATATTACACCAACACCTGTTATTTCCCCATGTAAAATTGTGGGCAATCAACTGCAGCTCATGCATGCCAATGCGAGAGATAAACTCACTGAAATCATTAAATTCTCTAGCAGCCTTTCTCCTTCCTCCCCTGTTTTCACTGACACCATAGATCTCATTCCAGTCCTCCCTTAATATCCATTTACTGCCCCAGTTTCATTTGGCATCTTCTAAGAACTACCATTGCATAACCCTCTCCATTTTGTCAGTGCTGGCATACATTAAATTGGCTGTTCTGAATCCATTTCTTTATGCCTTTACAACCGAAATCAATGGATTTAGGTCGTTCAGTGGTCTTCCCTCCGATTGGGGGTTGGTTTTTCTCTCTTCTAGTGACCTTTTTCTCATCCCCCTAAGGAGTGTTATACTTTTTTCATCGACCAAATAATGTTTGGCTTGCACTTCCCCATCCAACGCGAACTTTTGTCTATTAGCAATTTGTATAATGTTCCAATAAATCAATTTTTGCCCAACTCCATTTGCATTATGATAGCTATCATTATCATTTCCCACATAAAATTTGTCCGTTTCTTGCCCGAGTTTCTCTTCTATTGTTATAGCTACCGTTTCATAAAAGACGCCCACTGCTTGGGTTGTCGTCGTGGTGTTACCTTCCTCGATGATCTCTGCTCGAACGTTACTAAGTGGAAAATAAAGTATTTCTATATCCGACCTGCTCTTGGCCAATATCCTTTTACCAACGTCTGGATAACCGAGAACGTCAAGCAAAATAAGCGTCCTCGGTCGGGCCAGTTCGAAACTGTGCTCAATAAGTTGAATAAGTGTACTTGGAGTGCCCGCTTGCTGGTTAAGGACAAGGCTCTTGTTAACCATGTGGGTCTCTCGATCGACGAGAGTATTCCTCGTATCGACGACCCTCGTAAGTCGTTCGTATTTAGTAATTTTTATCGACCGGTGCTATTCGTCTTTTGCTGTATGTTTTGCAAGTTATGGATCCCCATTTATTTGCTTAACCGTTTAATTGCTCTGTCTTCTCTCTTTTTTTTTTTTCTCTTTTTAGTTAAAGCTTTGGCCCGTTTCGAGACCAAAACGGCCAAGGGTGACAAACCCGCTAAGCAACCTGCTCTTCCGACGAAAACCCATGTTGGCTCCGAGTCTGGGTTGAAAGAAGCGGCAGTCGAGACGGCTGCTGCTAAAAAGTCGAAAGTGATCCTCCCATCCATTACTTCGTCACAGAAGGCCTCGGGCTGGAAGTCCCGGAAGAGGGCCCAAGACGAGGCCGACTTTGTGCTGGTGCCCGACTCACTCAAACGTCATAAGAGTCGGGATAAGAGAAAGTCGATTAAAACTCCCCACTCTCCCATTGCTCTCGAGACAGTCACCCTCGAGAGACCTTCCCGACTCTGGGATCATCTTCATCCTCATGAGATCGCCAAATAACTTGACTCTGTCATCCCTACTGCCGATAAGGCTCGTACTGACTGTGACCCTTATGATCGTGCTGGCCGTGCTCTTTTGTGCTTTTCTCGGGTAACTTCTCTCGAATTTTGCTTTAGTCAATTTACTTTCTTATTCCCGTCTTTTCCTTAAACTTGTTCTTTCCTTGGTTTTCTTTTTTAGTTCATGGCTTACGTGATGGCTACTCTTCTTGAGGAGTCTAACTCACTTGATGCTAACGTCCATGCTTACAAGAAGAAGTATGAAGACCAAGTCCACGAGCTCGAGAAGAAAAATGACGACCTCGTGGCAGCCTATGCATAATCGCGAAGCTAAGAATCGAGAAGGCTGCCGCCCTTTCCAAAGTCGACCGGTTGCGTGTTGACCTTGCCAAAGCGGTCGAGGACAACGTGGCCGAGAGGGAGATTGAGAGGGAGGAGGGACGTAAGTCTTTCCTCAAGTCGTCCATCGGCTCAATCTTCCTCGATGCCTATCAGAAGGAAGTCGTCGGGGCGTTTTGCAACTCTCCCGCCTTCCTCGAGAAGTTGTGCCCTGCAACCCTTTAATACTTCCACTTCACATTCGATGCGTGGGAGTCAGCTACGAAGGGCAATTCTCTTGAGGGGAAGGTCGACTGTCAAGCGTTCAAAGAATTGCTTCCTCTTCCGGATGGCTATCACGGTGAGGCGTCGCTTCCCGATGATTACCCTTGGTGGTCGGGACTCGAGGCTCGGGTGATCCGAAAAGCTAAGTTGGGAACTCAGCTTGAGGTTCCTCCCACCCCCCTGGCCGGTCCAACCAACTTAGTCGAGCCAAGTGGGGCAGATGATGAGGAAAAGGAAGAGGAGGTCGACGAGGAAAGGGAGGTCGAAGAGCGAGAGCAGGGTCGTTGGACGAGGGGACGGGTGAAGGGACTGAGCCGCTAGGTGACGAGGGAGATGCGGGGACCGAGCCTGTGGTCAACAAGGGCGGGGATGCNGAGCTTCCTGAGAAATTGACTGCTGATTCTTAATAGAGGAAGACTGTTGGGTTATGATGTTTGTTTTGCTAGTTATCTGCTTTTCTTCCTTTTCATCGCCATACTCGACTTATTTTCAAAAGTTGTAAAGGTCGAGGTGGTTTCAGATGTACTGAATATTTTATCTAATAAAATGTTACCTTTTCTAATTCGTCACTAGTTTTCTCTTTTATCGTCTTTATTTAATCGTCCTCGGATTGCTCTAGATGATTACGCTCCGAGTCGACTTGCTATTATTTGTATGTGACTGGTCTTTTTGTTTCCCTATATATTCTCCTAACCCGGCTTGCGAGCTGGTCGAAGTCGAGCAATGATTTTAGCAGCTTCGTAGCTGATAAACGTAAGTTTTTCAACTCGTCCTGTCCCAATCCGGCTTGCGAGCTGATCGAAGTCAAGCAACGATTTTAGCAGCTTCGAAGCTGATAAAAGTAAGTTTTTCAACTCATCTTCTCCCAACCTAATTTGCGATCTGGTCGAAGTTGAGCAACGATTTTAGCAGCTTTGTAACTGATAAACGTTAAGTTTTTCAACTCCTCTTCTCCCAACCCGGCTTGCGAGCTGGTCAAAGTCGAGCAACGATTTTAGCAGCTTCGTAGCTGATAAACGTAAGTTTTTCAACTCGTCTTCTCCCAACCTGGATTGCGAGCTGGTCGAAGTCGAGCAACGATTTTAGCAGCTTCGTAGCTAATAAACGTGAGATTTTCAACTCGTCTACTCCCAACCCGGCTTGCGAGCTGGTCGAAGTCGAGCAACGATTTTAGCAGCTCATAGCTAATAAACGTTAAGTTTTTCAACTAGTCTTCTCCCAACCCGACTTGCGAGTTGGTCGAAGTCGAGCAACGATTTTTAGCAGCTTCGTAGCTGATAAACATTAAGTTTTTCAACTCGTCTTATCCCAACCCGGCTTGCGAGCTGGTCGAAGTCGAGCAACGATTTTAGCAGCTTCGTAGTTGATAAACGTAAGTTTCTTATTACTGTGGTTTCCTTTTTCGTATGATTAGCTTTATAGTTGCGTCGACATTTTTGTTCAGACATTTTCTGGTTGTTTTAAATGATATGCCAAGATGAGTTTTTTCTTTCAGTATATAGCATCGCAATTGTGTAAGTCGACTTCGTTGTCGTAGGCTTCATAGCTTGCTCGAGATTCCACTCGAGAATGCAACTTCGTAGTTGTGTGAAATCAACTTCGTAGCCGTGAGCTTCATAGCCTTATCGAGATTCTACTCGAGAATACAACTTCGTAGTTGTTTGGTCGACTTCGTAGTCGTAGGCTTCGTAGCCTTATCGAGATCCTACTAGAGAATACAACTTCGTAGTTGTTTAGTCGACTTCGTAGTCGTAGGCTTCGTAGTCTTATCGAGATTCTACTCGAGAATACAGCTTCGTAGTTGTTTAGTCGACTTCGTAGTCGTAGGCTTCGTAGCCTTTTCGAGATCCTACTTGAGAATACAACTTCGTAGTTGTTCAGTCGACTTCGTAGTCGTAGGCTTCGTAGCCTTATCGAGATTCTACTCGAGAATACAACTTCGTAGTTGTTTGGTCGACTTCGTAGTCATTGGAGTTAATCGACTATATAGCCATCTTGAAAAATTTGATTTTCCAAGTTGTAATAGTAAGGTCGACATGGAAATGTAAAAGACATAATTGAAGCGTAAACTTGAGATTCATTTCATTACTGAATTTGATTTGAACATTGTTCAGTACAAAAAGGAGTTCACAACATTGCCTTAAGCATAAAAGTGTTTGAGATGGATCACGTGCCAAGATCGCGACAGTTGTCGGCCTTCTCCATCCTCGAACTCGTATGCGCCCCTCTCGAGCACTTTTGTGATAGTGTAGGGTCCTTCCCAATTAGCTTCGAGCTTCCCGACTTGCTTGAGAGCATCTGCTCGTTTGAGGACGAGATCTCCTACTTGTAATCGTCTGGTTCGAACCTTTTTGTTGAAAGTTGTGCGCACCTTTTGTTTATATTCGACGGAGCGTATCCAAGCTTCCTCCCGTCCTTCCTCAATTAGGTCGAGAGCTTCTTTGACCATTTCTTTGTTCTCCTTTTCCTCTAAATATGCTGACTTGTGTGAATTTAGTGCAATTTCCACTGACAAGAGTGCATCCATCCCATACGCCATGCTAAATGGTGACTGGACTGTCGAACTTCTTGGGGTCGTCCTATACGCCCATAGGACAGTTGTCAACTCATCGATCCAAGCTCTCTACGCCTTTTCCAATTGTTTCTTTAGCCCTTGAAGAATTGTCCTATTCGTCACCTCGACTTGTCCGTTAGCTTGGGGGTGAGCAATTGAAGCAAATTTCTGTTTGATTCCCATGTCGAGGCACCATGCTTGGATCTTTTACCTTGGAATTGTGTGTCGTTATCAGAGATCAATACTTTCGAAATTCCAAATCGGCAGCAGATATTGTTGAACAAGAATTGTATCATTTTCTCCTCAGTGATCTTTGCCAGGGGCTCTGCCTCGACCCACTTACTAAAATAATCGACTGCGACTACGAGAAACTTTCTTTGTCCCGTTCCCATTGGCAATGGGCCCACCAAGTCGATGCCCCATTGGGCGAAAGGAATCGGGCAACTGATGATCATCATTGTTTCAGCTGGAATGTGAGTGATCTGTCCATGTCGCTGGAATTTATCGCATTTCTGCACAAGCGTTTCTGCCATTCTTCGCAGCTTTGGCCAGTAGTAGCCTGCTCGCAGGGCTTTTTCCGCTAATGATCGAGATTCTGCATGCGCCCCGCTACATCTTTCGTGAATTTCTCGTAGAACATAATTCCCTTCGCCTTTTGAAACACGTCTCAACAGGGGCCCGGCGTGCGACTTTTGTACAGCACCCCATCGGCTTCAAAATATTTACTCAGATATCCAACAATTTTCTCTGCTTCTTGATTATCCCCGGTAGGGATCTGTCCTTGCAGGAGTTCTCTGATCGACTTCCTCTAGTCATCTTTTTCCTCGACCTCTATTGTTTTGCCCAAGACACTCTTTTCAAGATGCATGGTGGTGATGTTATTTCTCATCTTCCCGTCATTCGAGCTTGCTATCTTTGTCAGCCAGTCGGCTCCCTTGTTCTCCTCTCGAGGAATCTGAATCAAGTCAAATTTCTGCAACCCTTGCACGAGGCTCTGAACCTCCTCGACATATTTCATCATTCGTTCTTCTTTGATCTCGCAGGTTCCCGTTACTTGTCCGACCACAAGTTGTGAATCAGAATGCGCTACCAGCTCAGTGGCTCCTCCACTTATTGCGAGTTGAATCCCTTTGATAAGCGCCTCATATTCGACTTCATTGTTCGAGGTTTTGTACCCCATTCGAATGGAGAAGTCCAGATGCTCACCTTCAGGTGATATCAGGACGATTCCGAGGCCAGACCCTTTGGCTGCAGAAGAGCCATCGACATGCACCACCCGTTTCTTTTCTTCGCTTTTGGTACACTCTTGGATGAAATCGGCCAACGCTTGAGCCTTTATGGCCCACCGGAGTTCGTATCTGATAGAGTACTCGTTTAACTCAAATTCCCAAGTCGACCCAGTGTTTCTCCCAGTTAGAAATTCGTCCTTACCAGCACCGTATGATTTAGAAAGTATTGTCTCAACTTCCTTGCTGTTATTACCAGAGTTAGAGCCGTTTTCTAGACCTTGGAGTATCTCGTCTCAGCTCCTTGGAGTATTTGGCTGGTATAATAATAATATATTGGCTGTCGGGAGCCTCCTTCTTCTCGCAGCAGTACAAAACTCAGCGAGACCACTGTTGGTGTTATATACTTAAGCTTTGCTTTAGTGGATATTACACTTGTTATTTCTTGATGGATGAGAATTATGTTTGGTTAAATAAGTTCCACGTTCTGTTGTTTTGCA